ATGATACTAGCAGATGAATATTACTTAATCACATCACATCAACAGAGTTTAATAGTCTACTGCTGAACGTAGGCCTCTCCTTGGAAAGGAGATTTTGGCCTACTATACCATGCTGGTCAGACAGGTTGGTATAGGCTATGTGTCAAGTTTTCCTTCTGTTTGAAGTGCTGCTGTCGAGCGACTGCTGTCGACGAGTCGACTAAGCGAGCAGACTATGCGAGCAGACTATGCAGTTCTGCATAGTCTGAATGATGAATAGTGGTGACACTCCATAGTCTTAATCCATCACCACACAGACAACTACTTAATCAAATGAAACAAACTAAAACAATCAGGTTTTCTTGAAAAATGCAACCCTATATACTCTATCTGATATGAATTCATTTGACTGATTACTTATCGGAAGTAAGGAGGGTTACCACCAGTTTGCCATAGCAACATTGTTTGAACTCACAAGGCTGAAGAGATAAGCATTCTTCTTTTTCAGAAACATTATTTGCCTACAAAATTTTGTTAGTTTGAATGCTAAATCTCTGGAGCTGGTTCGAATTGAAAAATTATTTTAGTGTTGGAGGGCTCATTTATCTAGGAAAGCTATATAACATAACGCTTCGACAAATTGGAGCCAAGAATCAATTAAAAATGTTGCAAAAACAGAGAATATTATGCTTAGGCAACATGTTCATGTTCAGATTTTTTTTAAATTTTTGTCATATTTGTCTATCTATTAATACAGCAGCAGATTTTGAACGCGGCGAAAACCTAAGCCCCCTAACCTGAGTGTCGGATCTGAAATTTATTGAACTATACAGGGCAGCCATTTCAAATAATTATGTTATTTATTTGATATAACTTTTTTAGTTCTAAATCTGTAACTATGAAAATTGGCATACAAGTGAAAAATATGTATTGGTATTGATTGTGGGGTCCAATTTCTGCATTTGGACTCGAGAGTAGTCCAAAGTGGTGAAAAATATGTTTAAAATGCAATAAAAATAACAATTAATAATTATAAAATTTTCTAGAAAAATCACGTTTCATTTTACTTTGAGTGCCTATCAAACGAACACTGAATAATTTAAAATCTTAAATACATATTCATTTTTCTTGAATGTACTAATAATATTTAGAAAATGTAGTATCCAAATATGGTAAAAACTGAATCGTTTGTTTCTTTTTCAAAACTGACATTATTCGACGATCATGACTTACCTAATTCATCATAGTACAAGCTCTGCTTAGTTGGAAACTAGTTCGTGTTCTGTGTCAGATGTCTGAAATTATTATTATTGTGTGTTGTTGTGTAAAAGAAGCAGTTTCTGATACATCGGTATTCTTCTAAACAACCACACAAATCCACAAAGCACTATACCGCTTCAAACCAATAACTGTGACAGTCCCACCAGCAGTGTAGCTTCCCTCTTTGCATGTCTACACAAAATGCTGAGTGCTACAAAGTGACCGATGCTTATTTTATGGCACAGAGGGGCAAACAAGCAGATAGGGCACCTGATGAGATTAGTGACTATGGCCAGCCATGAACATCAACAACTCTAGAGCTACACTCTGGTAACCTCAGGGAAAAAGCAATGTAAAAGCTGCTTAATAGCAGTTTTCTGTGAAATTATGATACCACTAGAGTGGAGCCGGCCCATTTGTGCTGAAGCATGTGGTTGTCGTGGTTGGCAAAATGGCCTGAGCATGAACTAAGGCTAGTGTCAAGCAAGTAGCTGGCTGTAAAAGAAAAAAGCCAAAACCATTGCAATGAAATAAAAGAGTAAGTAAAGGAATGTTAGCATGGTTGTTGTAGTGGTTTAAGCGTTCGCCACGCCCCTTACTACTAAGCTGAGTGTTGTGGGTCCGATCCCCACATGGGATGACACTTTGTGTGATCCACAAATTGTTGTTCTGAGTCTGTTTATTCTTTGTGTCCGTTTCATGCATGTTTGTAAAGTCTCCCATGACACAGGATATATTTCTAATGCAGTTGTCTTATAAAGTAAAAAAAAAGATCTCTTATACTGATCCTACACTATCTGGTGTAGCGGTGTAGAGAGGACGGGCACGCCGTCATCGCGGCGGTAAGACCCGTTATGGAAGATTGGCTCGAGAGGCGTCACGGGACCCTCTCATACCGACTGACGCAGGTGATCACTGGGAAAGAATGTTTCGGGGATCACCTGTGTCTGTTCCGCAAGTAGCCAACGCCTGAGTGCCACCACTGCGATGGCCAGACCGTGGACACGGCTCTCCAACACGCTGGCAGAGTGCCCGGCGTGGGTTGAGCAGAGGCGAGACCTCGTGGCGGCCATCAGAGTGGGAGTTCTCCCGCTCGATAGCCTGATTACGGCTATCGTGCGGAGCGAGAGTGCGTGGAACTCTGCCGTCTCCTTCTGCGAGCAAGTTATGCTAGCGAAGGAGACGGCGGAGCGGGACCGGGAGAGGTTTAGGACTCTCCCGGCCCGCCAGGCCCGGGAACGGGCCAGGTACCGCAGGCGACTCAGGCGCCGGAGGTCGCAGAACGACCTCCGTCCTCCATAAGCGCAGGCCTGGGGGTGACAGGTGAGGCCATCTGTCACCCTAGCAGATGGCGGCGAGCACGTTGCGAAGCGCGCTCGCTTCCAGGGAGCACAGGGAACATGAGGTTCCCACACGGGGGGGGGGTCGTCTACTCGTCTGTAGATGACCCGAGGTATGTCGGGGCACCAGGGACTTCCTTTCTAGGGTATACCTGGTTCCCCGGCTATTAGTACCCGAGACGGCGTGCGGTTTTAGTCGGTTCGGTTCCGACATAGCTACCGGTGGGTGGTATCCGAGGGGATTTCCGCACGAAACAAAAAAAAAAAAAAAAAGGGGTGTAGACAGATCACCTGATGACTACTGTCACCCATCACAACTGCAACTCTAATTAATTTAATTTATGAATGAAATGAATTAGGATGGAGTTACAATAATGTCATTACAATAATGTAATGACATATTGTAGTAATTACAATAATGTCAAATCTATACTAATAGTATAAAGCTGAAGAGTTTGTTTGTTTGTTTGTTTATTTATTTGAACGTGCTAATCTCAGAAACTACTAGTCCGATTTGAAAAATTCTTTTAGTGTTAGATAGCCCATTTATCGAGGAAGGCTATAGGCTATATATCATCACGCTAAGACCAATAGGAGCGGAGCACCAATGAAGAATGTTTCGAAAACGGAGAAAATTTATTACTATTGAGAGATGCAGACGAAGTTGTGCGGGTCAGCTAGTAGATAATACAAAGGCAAGCTTAACTCTAACCTAAGTTTTAGATGGGGTTAATTATGTCTTAATTATAGTAGCCCTAGAAGGGATTTTGGGATTTACTCGTTGGGATTTACTCAGATTAAGATAAGAGGAATACCTTACACCCACTCACCATACATGAACCCTACATATGGGGCCGAACGGCTAGGGCAGCCCATCAGATTAGTTAAAATCTACAGTCAAAAATACTTGAGTGTGTAAGATTAAGGTAATTTGGTTTAATTACATACATATTTGTGTGTATTTAAAAAAATATGACGATTTGAGAGTGACATAAAGGTCGTAGCCGAATTAAACAACTTTGTTCCCACCCAACCAAAGTATGAGTATTTAAATATGGTAATTTTTTTGTCGTTAATGTAAAGGATGTCTGCACGATGTTAAGTCCATAGTTAAATGATCATACTTTGGATGGGTGGAAAATTTCAATGATTTTAGACTCAGAATGATGGTCTGAATACATTATTTCTCTCTTACACCCTTTGGCTACGTATATTAGCACTATTGTAGTAGATAAGTCAAAAATTATTTAATTCTTTCAGCTAGAAGGACACCTTTTTACCCGCTTTATATTAGCTTCACTTGTATGTTTGTAACCGACTCCGTTGGGCGTGATTTTGACTGACTTTAAACGGTCAAAATTTGTTCAACTTTGTACATATTTTAAGGACCAATGACAATACACTAATTTAAAAAAAAAAATGTTAGTTTAAAAAAACTAAAAAACATGCTTTCTATAGAAAACCAATATTTTTTTTTGGTTTGACCTTCTTAAAAGACATCTTTATATCGTGTTTTCTTCATCATACATAAACGTAAGTTATAATCTTATATATAAAATTCTCATGTCACAATGTTAGCTACCATACTCCTCCGAAACAGCTGGATCGATTTTTATGAAATTTTGTGTGCACATCGGGTAGGTCTGAGAATCAGCCAACATCTATATTTAATGACCCCTAAATGACAAGGGTCACCCACCCCTAAATTTATTTTTCTCAATATTTCCTAGAAATAATGTAACTGGGAAAATGACGTTTGCCGGGTCAACTAGTGATATATATGAATAGATGTATTTATTCAAAAAACAAGTGTTTGGTCCAGGAATTGTATGACATTGCTATTGATAGCTGGATTCAATCATTTGTATCTAATTTTCACTATAGTAATTGTACAGTACCAAATCGGCAAATTTACAGTTACACATAAATTGAACATAACAACGATATTTCATTATTACCTAATTCAGATTATTCTTATGTCATTCAATCAATATTGAAACCTAGTTCAAACCAAAGTTAGGGTTTGAGTATTGATTAATGTTCTTGAAGAAAAAGGCGCGAGAGTTTAAACTATAAATTATCTGCGTGAAATGAAAACTCAGTGTTTATGGTTCATCTGGGTTTCGCATCCATACATACAGGGCCTACGTTGAACAAACATAAATCAGTTCTGGCAGACGTCATACATGCACTACGTCAATATCGGGAAGTGCATTGTCTGAGGCACCTACCTACACTGCGCACTCTTGTTGATCGCATGCTAACAAGGTTATGACTCGCGCATGCCTCAGAGGCGCATGTGTCAACAATGACGCAGCCTCGTTGGCAATTTGGCGTAGTCAAATGGCCAAAAACATTCCACAAACCGTTTAAAAGCTGTACCAAACATAGACTTATTATTAAAAACCAATAAAAACTTACCCTCGTGCCATTTCCAAGCTCTTGATGAGCTTCTTGATCTTCCAGATTTCGACATTGCGATCTGCTGACGACTCTTCAGACATTTTGAATCGGTTTTACTCTAGTATTACACCACAGAATACACCAACTATAGTGTTTAATTTAAAGTCAAAATAACACACCACTAAACTCCTAAATAAAGGGATCAAGGGAAAGGGAGTCCGGCTTGCGGTTTAAACTGCTCAAATCCAGATCGAACCGGACGAGCGAGACACTTAGTTCACACACTTTCTATTATATTAGTTCACTTTTAATAGCGCCGCCTGTTGTACTTTTCTTCTTGTTCGGGGATTATTGGTTTTTTTCTTAATACGGTTACCCCTAAGCATGTGGGACGAGGAAATACGACATTACAGGGACAAAAGATGACGTTGAACAAACGATCGAACGAACGCCTTGTCGTCCGTCGGAGAAATGGAAGAAAAAAAGTAGACTGTTATTGCAAGGTGTAAAAAGTGTGTACCTGAAAAAACTATGAATTTAAAAACTGTAAAAATAATAGTATTTCACTATTAACTCCACTTTTAAATCTTAAATTATAAAATTAATTTAGAAAGAGATAAAGTGTAATGTGATTATTTTCACTTATTATTAAATGGTCTTTTTTTATTTATTAGTATAGCAATAATCAATTACAACTGTCACCATTAGTGATGCTACCAGATATATTTTACTATTTACTCGAGTACAATGTAAAGTGCCCGTTTCGTTATTATTTTCTAGTTTTACTAATTAATTGATATACTAATTAATATGAAAACATTTAATAGCAATTGAAAATACTTACTTAATTCTCTAAATTTTAGTTAATATCTAAAGTAATGATTACATAATTCAATAAAATCAAAACTGGTTGTTACTTTATAATTTTATTCCCTACATCAATTACTTTTCATGAATAAAGTACGTATTACCATACCATATACCTAGGATGATTGTCCGAACATCTACTTCAGATTTTTTAAAGGTTTTTAAAAACTAATTGTTATGTTGATCGAAGGGTTGGATAAAATCCATTTCATGTTTTATGACAGAACTGGCGAGCCACCATGGCTTCGATCCGATGTGGTGTCAGTGTAGAGTTATTACTAATTTTATTATTGTGTTTTTTTTTTTCTTTTTATGGAATAAGGGGCAAACGAGCACACGGGTCACCTGATGGAAAGTGGCTACCGCCACCATTGAATGAGTGCATCTCAGGAGGAAGGAGTACACTCTTTTCTTGAAGGTTTGAAGGTCGTATCGGTCTGGAAATACCGCAGCTGATAACTTGTTCCACAGTTTGTTAGTGGGAGGCAAAAAGTGTCTTAAAAGCGAACAGTGGTGCAGCGCGAATTATCCAAGTGGTGGGGATGAAAATTTTGTAGAACGATGGCTGAAGGTTGCGGCTGGTATAAGTCCGAACAATTCGATCGATTACGCCGGTCGTAAATCTTTTGGCTATTAAGTCACTCTTCTTTGGATTCGATCCAGAGGGAGAACTGGTACTGTGATAGAGATGAGAGCAGTATTCCATATGCGATCGGACTTGCACCTTATGGAGTTGGAGGCGATGGGCTGGAGTGAAATACTGCCTCGATCTATTCTCTAAAGAATATCTTTATATACAGATAATTTTTCATGAGACAATACAAATATTTTTTCTTTAAAGGTGGGGTGATACTAAAAATCGCACGCGGTGATACTTTGTAACATGAAAACCTTGCAGGCTACTCTTATGATTCCCAAAAGTATTAACAAAAGAATAAAGTATACATACAATAATGTATACAAAAGGGAATTAATACATCAACGAGGTCACAGGCTGGCTAACATGGAAAGCGAAAATTCATAATGAATATACTTAGAACACCAGCTCCAGAATCATCTTTTTTTGCAAAATTATATTTCTGTTCTTAAGGCACTGGCTGTGTGACGTCATTAGATCAGCAGCCTTTAATAGTCCAGTCCTTTATATAGAACTCTTCTTAGAAATTAGGTTAGACGCCATCACAAAGGCACAGCATTCATTGAGTCTTATCAGATTTGTTATTACTTTTAGTAAAAGATTTACTTACTAAAAAACCCTTGTATATAATTTTTTTTAAAAGGCCAGCTCATTTTTAAAATCATATAACTTCCGTCTTTTTTCAAAAAAATATTTCCACTGATTGCAGAAAAGCAAGAGGAAAGAATGGTTTATCACATAAAAACGAAATAGGTACTTTTAACAAAAACTGACTTTAGTAAATTAAATTAATAATTCACTATTAGGTTGTCATCGGTACAGCACTCAAATGTCAACTTGAGCCGAACTAAGTTTGGGTAGGTTATAATTTCGCAATACTTCCCATGATGTTATGTAGTAAATTTAAACAAATTGCAATATATAAATCGACTTTACATAACAATGTACAAATACGTTGTTTAATAACATCTAGGGATATATTAAAAAAATGGGTTTGGATCGACGGCTTACTTACTAGTGTGACCAAAAGTGAGAAGACTATAATGTCTCCTATTCGGATTATTATAAAAGACTTGCGTATGTGGAGTATTTGGACGAGGAGTAGTATCGTGAGCAATGTAATTAGGAAGTGTAGTAGAGATCGTGGCGTTCGTGAAGTGATACAATGTTTCAGACATGCATTCTTACGTCCCAAGCGAACACTGCTCATATCAGCCACTGCGGCCTACAAAGCTCGAGATGATGAAGATGAAAATACACCTTGTGAGAATAGCATCACAGATGCAGAATTGCAGGTACTTTTTCCTATAAAATATATTTTTTACTTCTAATTAGTTATAATAGTGTCTAAAATTTATTGTTGTTTTTCTTCTAATGCCATTAATTGTTTATATAACAATGAGGCATTAGTAATACAATTAAGTTTCAATGTGAGCAGAGATAACATCTAAATTTGTTTACATCAGGCAAAGGTAAAGGATCCTCTGTGCCAAGGTCTTTAAATGTCAAAACAAATATATGGAGGACAAAGAAAATTTATGATTCTGATTGTTTTTGTTTCTTTGTCTGTTTTTTAAATGTTACACAGCATTTTTGATTATTGTAATTTAGTGTCAAAGAAGCCAAAAACATGTAATGTAAAAATGTTCTTGCGTTATTGAAAAAAGATCTTGGTTAGTTGACTCACTTCCTCAGAATATTTGTAACTGATTAAACACATGATATATAGCAACTAATAAAATATTTTGAGACACCTCACACATAGCTGTCTGATCTAACAAGGCAGAGCCTTTGCAACTGTGACCAGACTGCTGATACACATACTCATTCGCCGCCGGCGCCAACAGGCCTGTTCCTATAGTAATTAGAGACCCTAACTGTTGAGCCAGAAGTTGTGGGTTTGATTCCCACCCAGGACAAATAATTGTGTGATGAGCATGATAATTCGTTCTGTGTCTGGACGTAATTTATCTATAATGTGTATGTACTTAGAAATATACAAGTGTGTTTATCAGTAGTCTGGTTACCATAGCACAGGCTCTGCCTAATTTGGAATCAGAGGGTTGTGTGTGAGATGTGTGAAAATATTATTATTATATTACTTATATATTTCTAAATACATATCATAGATAAATTACACCCAGACACTGAACTGTTCATGATTATCACATAATTGTTTATTCTAGTTGGGAATCAAACCAACTATTTACCTATACAATAGTGCATTACCTAAAATGGTAATAATAATATAACACAAATGAATTGACACATCAAAGTTGTTGAAGTTTTAAATTATAGACTAAGTGTTCTTGTTCAATTGAGAAGAACAAGAAGTTGCAGTCCTTGAGCAGTAGCAGTTGCATACTATCAGGTGACCTGTGTGTTGGTTAGCTGTGTATAGCATATTGCTTTCTGATGGTAAGTGACTACCACCACCTATGGACGCCTGCAGTTTGAAGTCACAAGTGCGGTGCTGCCCTTTGACTCCCCGACTCCAGTGTCAGGGAGGGGTTTAGACTTCGGTTACCTCACTTACTCAGTCCAAAGCAACGAAAGAATTACTGAACTCTGGTTTTCTGTAAGGCTGTGGTTTCACTTCATACAAGCCGAAGCATGGCTCTCCCATGACAGGTCATAAAAAAATATCCAAATTGGCTCAGTCGTTTGTGAGTGCTTCCTACAAACAGATGGAGATTCGGTCAAACTTCAGATATTATATGTTTCTCATAAAATACATTATAATATAACAAAGGAATTTGTATGTTTTGTATCCAGGAGCTCCTCAAAGATATGGATGCAGTAGAAATGCTGTCACGTAGGACGCTATTCTGCGAAAACTGCGGGATGAGGCTGGTGATAGACAAGAAGCAGCCAGGGGTGCGGTACTGCTCGTTAGTATGTTTGTGTTGCATTACTATACTAAAAAAACCCTCATCACTACTAAAGGTCAATTCTCGTAATAAAAGTTCGGTCACAATTCAGTTCAAATCAACTCTCGAGTTCACAACTGTCATAAAAGTTAAATGGGAGAGGCCTATGTCCAGCAGTGGACTGCGATAGGCTGATGATGATGATAAAAGTTATTTTCGTAGTAAAGTATTAAACATCCAATGTTGACTGTAATATAGTTATTCAGTATTGTGATCGAAACTTGAATCTGTAATCTGCTATAACAATGTAATAACAATTTACTTTTTTAGTACGAAAATACCTTTTATGACAGTTGCAAGATCGACAGTTGATCGGAATGAAATTGTGACTGAACTTTTTTTACGAGAATTAGCCTTCTGATCTAATTGAGAAATTTTTGCAAACTTTAAATGATAGAATTTCATTGTCATTATACAACATTCACCATTAATAATAATAACTTCAGACATCTCACACACGACCCTCTGATCCCAAACTAAGCAGCGTACTATGGTAACCAGACTACATATTGTAGAATACCCATGATACCCAGACACAGAACAAGTGATCATGCTCGTCAAACAATTATTTATCCTTGGCGGGAATCGAACCCCCGACCTCCGGTTTAGCAGTCATGGAAACTTGCCACTAGACCAACAGAGAGTCTGTTCATTCCATTAGCCCGACCATTTGTTGATAAACTTACAAATTTAACATCTACTCGTCTCCTACTCGTTAAAGGTAGAAAATGCTTCCATAGGACTTAAACAGTTGACCTTTTAAAAGGAATAGATGGCAGGAGTGGTCCTCTATCATTAATTATAATTGAAAGTCTGGTCTCTGCATGCAATGAGTTTCAATTCAATTAATTAAAATGTAATTCAGTTGAATCGCATCTACTTAAGACTATCGAATTAAAGTTTATCGAATCATGTTTGTCAGAATCGAACCGACTTGAACCTTAACCTCGATTAAATTTGAGACAAAAAATCCACTCTTAAGTTTAGGCTCATTGAAGTCGGTTATACTTTTTTTCAATAAATTATTTATTAATATCATAAATATTTATGTCATTAGGTGTACCACATCGCAGGTGTCAGAGAAACCAACTGATATGTCAGACGGATGGGTACCATATATGGAAGCTGAAGACGTTATTATCTGGAGGAAGGAGTATAAGCCTGGACTCGGACTGTATGCTTATAAGGGTACGTTTGAAATCTAGGTAGATATACTTGACAATTACGATAACAGTCACTCAATAGCAATTGTTTTGCAATACGTAATACGACCATACTTGTTTACAACTTGTAATAGTGACATTCTGGGAACGCGTGGCTCCGGCTGGTTTTGTTTTGTGGTAGCTACTGTGAGTAGCTACCCACTTCATTTATTTATTAAACTTTTCACACTACTTATTTAGTTAGATTTAAAAACAATAACATGTAATTATAATAACCTTGGATCCCCAAGAGCTTCAGTAAGCTCTTTTCTTGAACGAATAACCAAAGCGGTATTGTTAGGCTCGTATCAAATATGGTTAGGTAGAGGGGGCTAACACAGCAGACAGTGGAGGTGAGCGCTGACGCGTCGCAAGGAGTACTCCCTAAACCCACTCTTGGGTCGCAATTCTCAGGCGCTGTCGAAGTCGCATGTGTTGCCCTCATCTATCACGCGATGGACCCGCACGGTGAATCCATGGAACGCTAAGAAATAGGTCTGTTACCTCAGAACTCCGTCATTTTTAAACCCTGACACTTAAAACGATATTCTTCATTCCTGAATTTTCACCTTTAGGCGTGGAAGTATTTCTTCATTTTTAGAATTTTCCAAATTGGTTCACAAACAACCGAATTAAGAACATATTTTTTCCATTTATATTTTTTCTTTAAATTTGAATGGAACCAAACAGGAAGGAACCTTTCAAATAAAAAAAATAATCCATTCGGTTCTGAGGTAAACATAAAAAAATAGAGCCGAACTGAAAACTTTCTTTTTTTCTAGGCTTTTGAAGAAAATGGGTGGCAACACGATATTAAAATTTCACAAACAGCTCGTTACAATTTACTTTGACCTTGTCCTGCTATACAACACACATCTATAAATATCTAACATTTGCCACAATACAGATGCATATAAGTAGGTTAACAAGTTTATTTCGTTACTTGTGTTTATTTATTCAATACTGAACATTGGCCGCTCTCAACGTGCACTACTACAGAAGGCGAATTCTCGTAATAAAAGATCGACCAAAAAACAGTTCCGATCTACTCTCGATCTCACAAATGTCATAAAAGGTATTTTCGTCAATTCATGAATTTTTGTTACGAAAATCGGCCTTCAGGTCGTCATCCCAGCCAGGTCGAGTAGATCTAAACCTTTAGCTAAAATCTGAACATTATTAATGAAACAAAAAGCTTGACTACGTAAAATTTACCAATACCAATACTTAAACATAAAAATAATATACAATATTAAAGTCACCATTTAAAATCATTCATGTTGGATACCACACTCTATAGGGGAAACATTTTTATTAAATAGTTTATATTATCTCATACTTTCTGAAAAATGTGTAGTTATAATATACATTTATTTTTTTCCCACCACGTATATACGTCACACCCATAATTACTATTTTGCTCGGACTTAACTTTCTGTGCTTCGACTATTCATTGATGTTACCTACCTATCCACATAAGTGATGACTACTTAACACGATACCATCGCTGCCCAAGGCTCAGTTATTTTCCGATTGTCGTTATCTGCCGGGTGATACGTCACTGAGAAAAATTTAAGCGGTTAACTCTGTTATCCAACGATAGTCACACACATTAAATTATCTATTCAAATGGGATGTATGTTAAAAAAACTAATCTATAATGTCATATGATGTAATTAGGTGATAATGTTGTTGATGTGATAACATCTTAGCCTCTATCACGCAGTGTGCAATACAGAGCGTTTTTTGAAGTGAAAACTTCTTTAGGCACTTTGGGCATTTATGACAAAAGAAAAAAAAATGCAACGCGACACTGTTACCGTTAACGACACCTCTGTATTGTATAAGTAATAGTATATTATAGGTCTTAACTTATAACCTTTGAAAAAAGTGTTAACTTCTGTCGGCAATCCGAGTTATAAGTATGTAGAACTCATCTGCTCGGGCTAGTGCTGACATTCCTCAATCTATCCTACCTACCATTGTCTTCCCTTCTTATCTGCCATTTCTACCAATATACTTCTAATCTTCCTTTATAGTCACTAATGTGCCCGGTTGATGACGTTACGTAAATAGGAGCAAAATTATAAAAGAATAGAAAAACATGGTCGTGTATTACTCCAGTGTTTACCAGTAGGGGTACTGGTAAACATTGGCTCTGTGCTAATAAAACAGTGAAAATTATTCGTTGGTCGTTATGTTTCAAAAACTAAGTAACTAACTAACTAACATATTTTTCTCTAGTGTACGGTCGATATTCAGAAGTTCGAGCAGCAGACTTTGCAGCGATCCAGGTGGATGGAGCATACCGCCGGGTGTGGGATGCAGCAGTCGCAGCGCTAACGGTCGTGGAGCGTAGCGCCAACGGCCTTTCAGACCAAGCTGTACTACATTGGGAAGTGCTATGGCCTGTGAGTATGCCAGCAAAATGTGATATAGCGCTATTTTAACCTTTTTTTTCATGCGAACATCCCCTCAGATATCGCGATCGGACGCCGAGGTGGTTATGTCGGACTCGAACCTACTAAAACAGCACGCCGACTCGGGTACCAGCAGCCGGGAAACCAGAAGGCCAATTCGACTAATAAAAGTTCGGTCACAATTCAGTTCAACAAATGTCATTTAAGGTATTTTCGTAGTAAAATAGTAAAGTATTACTAAGACTAGCCGACTACCGATTAAATTTTCGGTTACAATACGATATAATCACATTACAGTCAACATTGGGTGTTTAATACTTCACCGAACTTTTATTACGAGAATTAGCCTTTTGGCGTAACCAAGAAAGTAAATAGCTGGTACCGCCACAGACTCCAAGCCATTTACGGTTTATAGGTGACCTCTGTATAGAACAGGGATTCCCAAAGTGAACCCCTTGGCTCAGGGGTCCACATAAACGAAAACTGACATTGGGGGTCGACGAGGTCTAAAAATCGACCCCTATTAAATAATAAAACACAAGTTGTTATTTGAAACTTTCAAGATACTGTACAAGTTATGTTACGTGTACCAACTTGTTATAAGAATGACTAATATGTCTATTTATTTTGATGAGAAAATTATGCCTAGTTTACTCACTTAACCAACCACAAAGTTTTTCTATTTATGACTATTTTGTATCAATAGGAAAAAAACTAATAAATAGGATTTTAAAGTACTTTATCTATGAGGGTCTGAGGTATCGGTTTATTTTGGAAAAGGGGTCTCTTGCCCAAAATAGTTTAGGAATTCCTGGTTTAGAAGGTCAGACGAGTCATCTGATGGTGATTAAATACCACCTCCTAAGTATCACCATTTGTGCCGAAACTTGGCTCTCCTACGAATTTATAAAAACACTCTTCCATCACACACATAACATCAACAGCCTTTAATAGGCCACTCCTCGATATAGGCCTCTCCTTAGACAGGAGGTTTTGGCCTACTATACCACGCTGGCCAGAAGGGTTGGAATAGAGTTTGTGTCAAGGTTTCCTTCTCTTTGCAGTGCTGTTGTCCTACGCATTTTGCTCCCTTAGTCTTACGACACCTGCGATGAATAGGGGTGGTGACACTCCGTATTCTTAATCCCACCACACGGAGAGTTATATTTCAAACATTTTTTTCTTTATATTTTTTACGTCTTTCAGAGGCTATTCGCAAACCGCGACTACGTGTACATTCGACGTCACAAAGAGTTCGATGTGGTAGGCAAAAGTTTAAGGCACAGGGAAGGACTGTTCCAAGCTGAGGTTACAACCGACGGGCCCTGTACTCAAATATTCACCGAGAGACCTAGTGTGCATTCGAACGCGAAACGGAAAGCCACCGAGATAAATGCGAAAGAGAAGGAAGATAGCGCTTGCGAAAATAAGGTGCGAATTTTAATATAATAAAACCTCACACATCTCACACATGGCAGTTTGATCCTAAACTAGGCAGAGCTTGTGTTAGGGTAACGCGTTGCGAAGCGCGCTCGCTTCCAGGGAGCAGAGGGAACATGGGGTTCCCACACTTGGGGTCGTCTACTCGTCTGTAGATGGCCCGAGGTATGTCGGGGCACCAGGGACTTCCTTTCTAGGGTATACCTGGTTCCTCGGCTATCAGTACCCTAGACGGCGTGCGGTTTTAGTCGGTTCGAGTCCGACATGCCACCTATAGGTGGTATCCGAGGGGATTTCCGCACGGGAAAAAAAAGGGTAAACAGACTGCTGATAAACATACTAAATACATACATTTTATAGACACATACACAACGAATTTTAATATGGTTCTCAACAATAGACAGAGTGATTCAAGAGAAAGGTTTATATTTATAATACACGCATATTATAGTAGAGAAAATCCGAGAATTTCAAAGATTTGTCTTAAAAAACGCTGGCTAATCCTTACGAGAAAGACCAAAATATTGTACTACGGAATTATATATATTGAAAAGATATATAAAGAAGTCCGCGATGGTATATGTATCTCCTAAGGAGAACCGACATTAACCATTTTTATTTTTTAAATATTATAATATAAATGGGTTATTTACAAAATTATTTTAAACATTACGTTACTATTCCTTATCCAACTAAATACGTTAGATACGTTGTGCATTTAATGAAGATTAAAATAGCTCTTTGCAGTATATCATTAAAATGAATATTTTAGAAGAATTTAGAGGTTTAGCGGCCGTCGCCGCTTCGGGTCCTCCGTACGTCGCGGGTGGCAGCGACCGGAAGGATCGGAGTTTCTTATAAATATTGCATATAAAGATGTGCTGTAGTATAAACCTATCAATATATATGCATAACCTATATATTACGGACATATATCCTCCACAATGAACCCTTTCGAACAAAAAAAAACATAATCTTAATTATCTCTATTTCTAGGTTTACGTGATACTGAACCGGTCATGCGAACACCCAGACGTGCCCGAGACAAAACACGCGATCAGGGTGTCTGAGTACTGGAGTCATATGGTGGTGAAGACAATGAACGGACCAAATAAGGTGAAATACAAACATACACACGTACACTCACGCCTGTAGAACGGCTAGAGGCATATTAAACGTCACATTTTTGCTCAGAAAATTTGGTCCCACTAGTGGAATATGGGCGAGTCTATTATCGTCCGTTCCGTTACCGTAAATTGAAAGTTACACTTAATTCTTTGACTTTTACCTTGAACGAAATTTGAACGGATTACAGATTGTAAGTAATAGCTATTTAGGGAATGATTTGCCCACGTTTTTACAACATCAACGCAAAAAAGGCGGCCAATTCCTACGCTACAAAGATGTGCTGAAGCAACTTGACCCGTCGCACTAAGGTGTTTGAGTTGAAAAGACAAGGGAAAAAAGGTCCGACCACCTGCGTCCTGCGGGGGGGGGGGGGAGGTTGAGGGGTGCTGACTTGCAGTGAATATGGGCACACGTTCACGGCAAAAATCGTCATCACGTCATCACAGTCGTCAAATCACATCAACAAAGCTGTTATTAATCAGTTCCAATTCTGGACGGACGATAAATGTAATAATATAGTCTGCCTCGATGAACACTAAAAGAATTTTTCAGTACGAATCAGTAGTTCCTGAGATTAGCGCTTTCAGATAAACCGTTCAGCTTCATAATATCGGTATAGATTTGCTTTTTTTTCAGAATGGCATGGAATTCGTCTTGACATACTACGATGAGCCAGCAGTGGGCGGTATGCCCAGCAGCGTGGCATCGTGGGCGACCGGCCGCGCCGCCCCCGCCTATCTACAGCGCATGCGGCGCGCCGCCACCGAGTATCGAGCTTGGAGGGACACCACACAACAGGTACTCGCTACTACTGTCCACCTCTCCAACTGGAGCAGTGTGAGTCGCCCTCAGACTCACTGTATCTCCCCCCTCCCATCTCCTCGTTGCAATCCTGGCCTCCCACTGGCCACTGCTGTAGTATAGGGCTCTTACCTTTTACGATATTGAAGAGATTCCCCCTACTTGCCCTTCATATAGTGGACTCCATGCAACGTACTGGCACAAAGTACCGCGTTAAATTCTTATGGATAAAAGTATATTATATATTTGATATATTTAAAAATAATTAACTTATATAAAAGGGTCACAGACATGAATGAGCCTGCATCATGACATTCTGATAGTAAGCCAGACTTTATAAAGGGAAAAAGTCACAGAGAAAATGAGATAATACGTACGGAACTCAAGTGTATACGTACGAAGCTGCTGCAGCAGAGCACATAAATTAAAATTATTACGAAATAATATTTTTTTTCTCCATATTCTTTTATCTAATCTATCTTTCTAATCTAATCCCTCTGATAGATAAATCCCTCTCTAGATAATCCCTCCCTTTATAAATAAATAAATAATCAATATTTTTACACATCTCACTCACGGCGGTCTGATCCCAAACTAGGCAGAGCCTGTACAATGGCAACCAGACCGCTGATAAACATACTTATATATTTCTAAATACATACATATTATGGATATGATTTAAAAGTTCCATGATTGAAGATTTTAAAGCAATAATTTCCATGTTTGTTTCTCGACATAAGGATATACCAGACTTCACGCCATTCGGGCCACAGGATAAGAAAATTAGCGATGAAAAGGAGTTAGTTCCTCTACAAATAGATAAGGAAGTAGTGACGATCTCCGTGGACCCCGGGCTGGAATCATCCTGCAAAGAAGATGAGAGCGTTAGTGATCCAGTCACTGAGGGGAAAAAGCACACCATTACTGATGACGAAACAGAGTTTGGATTAGAAGTAAGTATAAATATTTATTGAATTTTATTTTTATAAAAGTTGGATTAGTTGGTTGGTAGTTATTTCAATACATTATACAAAAAAACTTGATATACAAATCCTTTAAAAAAAAGTCAAACCGACTTCAAACAATACTAACAAAGAGCACTTAAACCTAGCAGCAATCAAAGTTGATTTGCTGTAATTTTTTATGAGTTCCGTTGTCTGTCTCCGAAATTCATCATATATATATATATATATAAACATCCGAATTGATAACCTCGATTTGATGAAACGGACACTCAGAACAACAAGTTGTGGATCACACAAACACACGTACAGTCAATTCTAAGTTCGTAATTCAAAAGGCGGTTAGACACAATTGTATCTCTTGAGTTGCGAGTGTCTATGGGCGACGGTGGCCACTTCCTATCATAAAATATAACTTGACGTACCACAAGACCGTCGTTTAACCCAAAATAGCCAGAGCCGGTACTATAGTTACTATGGTGTTGCGGGCAGGCGCTAGGAGGGGTCCGGATGTCTTAATAACAGCAGTTCCCGGATCCCTCCTATTACAGGCGCAGAGTGGCACTCCGTGTGGTTTTAGTCGGTCCGATTCCGACACACCATCCCGCCTGAAACCCCGGTTTGGTGACGGCCCTAGGGGGTTTCCAACAATACAATATTTTTTCAATTCGAGCCAGCACTTTCTGAGATTAACGCGTTCCACAAAACAAACAAATTCTTCAGGTTTATAATATTAGTATAGGATTTTAAGTGGTTTAGGTTATATAGTAGTAACATTAATATTATCGACTGTCTACGTTTTAGTCGATTCCGTACAATTCGGAGATGGAAGTTAAGGAAACCAAGACCCGCGACCAAGGGACGCAGACAGAACAGGTAGATGACGGACAGAAAGAAAACGACAACAGACGGAAGGAGGACAAAAGCGTTTCCACCGACCGAGAAGTTAGACATGTAAGTTTTTTTTCGTTTATTATATAGGGTAGCAAAACAGCAGACGGGTCACCTCATGGTAAGCGACTACCGCCGCCTATGGACACCTGTAAATCACAATTCACATCTCCCCCTTCCTCCCAGAAACAGGGATTTGAGCTCCGCTAACCTGAGAATAATAGTAATCGAATTACGAAGCATTCAAATTATAAGAAGACCTTAAATAGTTATACTTATAATTGTACTTTTTTGCTTTGGTAAGGGATTTCGTATCTGAATTTGGAATGCGTTTTCGTACTGATTAAAGAGGGTGGGGCCATGGCGGCGGTAGCTTAGTGGTTAAGGCATTGGACCTCCGATCAAGAGGTCGGGGGTGCGAATCCTGACCAGTACACTACCGATGTAACGGGGTTAACGGGAATACTAGTAATTTCGGTTGCCAGTAAACTTTTTTTTTAAAAAGGGCAATAAATTTTAATAGGTCTCCCAATCGTGGCCTAGTTAAATATGAGGCATACCTACGCAGCTACGTCTCCCGTCCGGTATATGGATGACTTCTCACGCCCCCTCAAGAGAGTGTGGTCGCCCCGGGACGATGCCAGGGGAGAGACTATCCTGGAGTGGGCGGCTGGACTGGACCTCCGACTTTTAAATCGGGGCTCAGTTAGCACCTGTGTGTGATGGTAGGAGAAGTCGATTGTCGATCTGTCGTGGGCGACGCCTTTCTGAACACCGGCACATCGTATTCGATGTGTCTCTCCGCCGCGCTGACCGCCCACGCCAGGAAAGAGAACCTCCGCGACGGTGGTCCCTCAAACAGCTTGACCAAGAGATGGTTGTTGCTAGATCCCCAATCCCGCCTAAGGGTCGCTGCGGCCACCATGTGCCATGTGGCCGCTGGAAACGACCCGAGACAGATGACACTCCGGTGGGGCCGGTGGGGTGTCGTCCAAGGCGGGGCGCTGTTGCTTACTGCCCGTCCCGCCCCAGAGTGACTACTGTCACCCCGGGATTAGACTCAGACATGGGGTACAGCAGGGAGGACTCCAGAAGTCGCCGATGCGTTCTTGGATCTCCTCCCGACTGCCGAGATAGGCCGCCGCGGGGTTTAGTGGGTACACCAGTGATCTGGGAGTCCCACACACGTCCTGCGTTTCCCCAACGGAGGGTAAAAAAGGTCCGATAGCCTCCTAATTCTCAACTTACCTGTGACTCTTAAGTTACAGGTGTCCATGGCCGTTTGGCCTCTATTCCATAACAAAAATATAGTCTTGGTAATAATTCTAGGATCCTGTACAGACGGATGGTGAACCTTTAAAGGTGGTGGAAGAAGAGGAGCCAAAAAATGGTGGGTGGTGGCGCTACCTCTATCCTTTTTACTATTTCGTTTAAGCTCTAGTTGGTAAGACGTAATATTCCTATAGCTGATAGCTGTGTATTAGCTTGAACGTAACATATGTTTTACTACTTGTAACACTTAAAATTTAAGTAGTATTAATATTAATATGTTTAACTATGTATGTATAATATTATAATATATTTGTCGGTAAGAGAGTTGAATAGATACATCAAATAATATTATGGGTCATTGTTACACAGCGAATATGTACGTGGTACGTAATATCTGCACATGCTGGAATGAAACTCGCTAAACCAGTCGGAGAAGACAAATATCCGATAACAGCACCAAAAATCGTCGAAACATTGTTAAGTCTCTCGACTTACTGTTACTTAAGGGTTTTAAAATTTAACTATTTAAACATAAATGATATCTAAATGTGATCTAGATAGGAATTAGAAGTATGTAGTTCGAGTAATTCCAGTCTGACACCTGACACAGATGTGTCAGTTAGCTTATCCCCTGGCTTATCAGGAACTCCCCTTTTCTTTCGTGCTGAATTGCTCGGAAGGGGTGACCGACGGTGTGGTTATGTCGGACTCGAACCGACTGACTGCACGCCGTCTCGGGTACCAGTAGCCGCGAACCAGGTGTACGCCTTTATTACCGAAGGGTTGTTTGAGCGTGTTAAACTTAATTTTAGTCTCAATTACTTAGTACAGAGCAAGTCTAGTATCTTCAACCAACTGTTTAGGATTAGATGGGCAAATTCACAAGATATTAAAAGGAAATGTTAGTAAGAGGAGAAAGAGATGGTGGGATAGCAATAATGCTTATACAGATGGGGAGATCCCTTAAACTTGAAGTGGCTGTTTTCGGGTAGTCTGAACTTTTTAACACAATATTATAAATGTATTAAATCATAATCAGTCAATTATATGTATTAAAACTTTACACATCGTATACACGTGCGTCTGATTCCAAACGAAACAGAGCCTGTACTAATGTAACCAGACTGTTGATAAACATACTAATATATTACTAAATACGTACATATTGTAGACAAATTACACCCAGATACGGTACAAATTATCGTACATATATCACAAGTATTTGTCATCGTGCCAACTAAATGCTAACAAATGTTGCTAAGAGCAAAACTAGAAAGCATCGACTGATTTGTCAATTTTTTTTATATATGCCTATATTAGTCCATAGAAGGTAATGAGGCGAGAAAAAGTTATAAAAGTTGCCCAAAAAAATAAAATACTGGGAAGGCTAGTTACGACCAAAATTATTTTCCTGGGTTATAGTGAACACTGTCTAGTCTAGAATTTAAATAATACGTTAGGCTAAAAAAACGCACACAGATCATTAAAAATATACTACCTCATAACATTCGCACAATAAATGATCAGATCTTACAAACACTGATAGCCTATATAAACTGAAGGTCGAATGAGTTCCAATCTACTCTCGATCTCACAAATGTCACAAAAGGTATTCTCGTAGTAAAGTATTAGACATCAAACGTTGAATGTAATGTAGTTATATCTTATTGTGGTGGTGGTTAAAGAATTGTTAATTATTTATATATATGTATTATGTATAAGTTAATACTAACTTGACACATCTTACACACAGACGTCTGATTTCAAACTAGGCTCAGTCTTTACTATGCTAACCCAACTTCTGATAAACATACTTATATTAATAAATAAATACAAAAAACAAAACAACGAATATTTATCCTTTTGGCAATCGAACCTATGACCTCTGGCTTACTAGTCAAGATCCCTCCACTAGACCAACAGGACCGTCAAAGGCCGTTTGGTATAGTTACGAGTATAGTTTCAAAACATAGTCAAATCAGTATCTCTTTATATAACGTCACAACGTCACACCTAGCCAATGTCAAATCGTTTATATATAATGTTGATTTGAAGATATATAAAAATTAAAAAAACCCCGACACACATCTTGGGTTTGAAATTTGTTAAAGTGTATAGCATTCTACTAGTCAAGCTCTTTCATTTGATACCCATATTGGGGGAGTGGTGAAAAAATATATAATTCGCCATTTTGTAGCGGCGGCCATCTTGGAACGATTTTCATCAAACATAGCTAAGAACACTTCCGACTAATTCACCTTTCAAACTGAAAAAATAAAATCAAAACCGGTTCATCCGTTCGAGAGCTACGATGCCAGAGACGAACACACACAGCCACGTCAAACTTATAACACCCCGTCGCTTTTGCGTCGGGGGTTAAAAACATCAAATTAAAAATGGAGAACAATTCAGGCTGTACTTTAAGATGTTACATTTAATGATTCCAATGAAATAATTTATTTTAAACCTAGGAGTGTACCCAATTTTATAAGATCATTTTTCATAACAACACTTAGGGACGATAAAATAATATGGTGTTCAACCCCGTCCGCCTGTAGGTACAGGTAAAATCTTAAGTCGTTTTAAAATGGAAGTTAAATGGGGAAAAAATATCGTTGATCTAGAAAACGATGTTAACTTTATAAAATATCATTTTCCGAATTTCTTAAATTAAATTGTATAATAGGAATATCAATATAACGGGTGTAGTGTACTTTGGTACCTATAAAGGATTGTATAAGTTATATTATTGTAAATGTAATACAATTTAAGTGGTAATTATTATATAACTATTAAAATATTTTATGAGACAGTTACTGTCAATATTGGTTCATTTGTTTGTAACGAACTTCAAAGAAAGGACGAGGTTTTCAATTGGGCTGTATGCTTTATTTATATTTTAACACCATCATTTATGAACCCATTCAGATAACTCTTTTTTTATTTGAAAGGGTATACGTTCCGTTTGGGTGGAATTTAACATTCAAATTTGAAGAGTGAAATTCCACTCCTAAGGGTGAAAATTAAGGAATGAAGAATATAATTTATTACAATTCATCACCATGTGGCCGCATTGAAGTTGTTATTATATTATCTAAATCTGATAGAAGGATAATAATAATTATAACTTGACACATCTGACACACGGCGGTCTGATCCAAAACTAGGCAGAGCCTGTACAATGGTAACCAGACTGCTGATAAACGTACTTACATATTTCTAAATACATACATATTATAGAGAAATTACACCTAGACACAGAACAAATGATCGTGTTCATCACCCAATTTATTTGTCCTTGATGGGAATCGCACCCACTACTAGATCAACAGGAACAATTTTAAATTAAATTTCATTCTCAGTACATTAAGTTTTAATCTTGTACGTTATATCTAACATAATTTGTGTATTTTGCTGAATGGTTTTATTTATTTATTGTATATCTCAGATCTAGCGACTAATTTTAAATTCTTCTGTTTACTTGGTATCTATCTTTGAATATAACCCTTATTTAGGTTCCTTAACTTATATAATTGTATCATAACATTGTTTATATATCCCGATTAACAGCAGTTAGTCGCCCGCAAATCTGCTGATTTGATAACTTTCTTAGCGTATGTTGAAAAACCCTTTTGGTAAATACACGCTTAGCTTCAATGCGGCCGGGTTATGCTACGTTAGTATAGTAGTATAGTCATTAAATATATCAAGACAAAAATTCTTAATAATTATATAAGGCCTATTTTGTAATTATATACTTTTTTAAAGCTGCGTAATATAGGACCTATAGACAAGACGGCTATGGTTCATTCGTTTTTAGGTCTTTTTTTATGGAAATAACAATGGCACTTATCAATAAAGTCCAACGAGAAGGAGATCCTCAGGCGACCCTCTTAAGTGAAACCACTTACATATACCGGAATATTGTTATATTCCGCTATTTGTTTATATGCCAATCCAAGTCGAGTCCAATACATGATAAATTGTATTCATCTGTAGATATTTCAGATCTGGTAAAATATATTTTCTTCAAGTTTAATTGAAACCAGCCACCGATTACGAAAATTATTTTATTGAAATCGATTCACCAATGACAAAGATATCGCGTAAATACACAAGAAAAAAGTGGAGTCGAGAACCTCCTCTGATTCGATAAACACCATTTCATACAATTTTTTTACTATTCCTAATATTTTTACGTATTAAGTGACGTAAGGTTTCCAAATACGTAAAAGAGTTTTGCATTTAAATACACGAATCAACAAGTGAATTTGCAATAAATATGAAATGCATATAAACTCGGTTCCAAAAATAACGGGTCAGTCACATAAACCCGAATATCTCCCGAACTACGTATGCCATCCTAATGAAACCAAGACTGTTCAATTGAGAATTTAATTATACAGATAAAAAATAAAATAAAACTTAAATCTAAACTCTCTAACTCTTAACTTATCTCTAAATTTAAAAAAAAACTAAAGTAGTCATATTTTTCTTAAGATGACATTTTTTTATGATTGTTTTTTTTTGCTGTTTTTCATCACTTTCTTCATTTAATACTTTGTATTGCCTCCACGAGCTCTTCTGACAGAGTTGAAGTTTTTTTCATCAACCAGTTTAAATAATATGCTATTAGAAGCGCAACTAAGTCTTTATTCTGTTTTTTATTTCATTGATCTAACTTTTACAGTTCTGGAGGTATTTCAATTTTTGTGACTGACCCGTAATTTTTGGAACCGAGTGTATTATACAAAATTTATGGGTTACTGTTAAAATAATAATATAATTTAATATTTTTTGGAAATCTGTCACACAACGCCATCTAGTTTGAATCTAAGTAGAGCTTGTGCTATGAAAGCTAGGTTCACTGATAGAATAGTGTATTGTTGCTTTAGATTCCAAATAATCAATCAAATAACTCCGATTGGCCGACAGTATATTTTTATTTACAGTCGTGGATAGTAGGTGCTTTAATGAAACGTCTTGTCTATATCTGTCTATATTATGCTCCACAATTGTTAGGTTTTATTTTTATTGATTTTAATTAATATAAATTATACATTCTGTCATAGGAAAAGCAGAGAAGAGTTAACTAGAAGATGTGAGCCGTGTAGACCCAACCTAAGACTTAGAATTTTGTATTATTTCATTTATAAATGAATTTTAATTTTTGATTGCGATGCAAAACTTAACGTTTAAAATATACATGCTCCAATAATGAATTGATACTTGATTTACCCACGAATTTACAAAATTAATGGGCAACTTGTTATATTAATCTGGCAAGTATTTTAATATAGTTAAATATGACAATGGTTTCCGTTGACAATTCTATAAGTATAGATATAGTCTATGATGAACTCTATGAACTACATTTTATAAGCATTTTATCAACCTTTTCTCGCAGTTTCAAATGCATTTATTATCCCTACTCCGCTCCTAAAGGTGCATGTTTTTTTTATTTCGCATTCGTATATATTCCCCATTGAACTACACTATCCCATATAAACATTATCACTCAAATCTAACCGATAGTTTCTGAACTCCAAATCCAGAACAAAAGCTTAGATAATACTGCTATATTGATAAACTAGCAGGTACTGGTATATTTGAGCGAAAAATCTCTGTTTATTCAGCTTCCTAACAGAAACAGACCTTTAGCGACCGTGAAATAATGTACATTATAATTTGCCTCGAGTATTCTATCGTTCGGGCACAGAGCAATATAAACTAGTCGAAGAAAATATTTTAGCCATTTTAGTTTATTATTAGCTACTAAGTAGCAAGATTTTATAATAATTTTAAAAGCATGTGTATTTTAAACATATAAAGCATTACTTTTTGTAAATATGTGTATAGGTTGTTACAGTTGTTCATTAAAAATATATTAAAATGTTATTTAGCATTCGCCAATGTTATTTTATTTAATTTGCCCAATATTTCAAAATGTATGTCTCGCATATTGAAGCTGAACAGGTATCTCGACGGAGCGACGGTCCTCGATCCAGATGCACACAAATTGCGACAATCAGGCAAGGCAATAAATACCAAAAGGAAAGTAAAATGGGTTGATAGGAACAGCATCTTGTGTGAAGCATCATATAGGGCCAGACGAGCAGACGGGACACCTGTTCATAGTTCATTTATACAGAAACATTCATATAATTGTGTTTGAATGTATAACAATTCGCAGTAATACAAAATATTAAAAATAAAACCAAAAATATAAATAGCATAACAAATCAAAAACAAATTAATAAGATAGATTTTACAATATGTCATGTAGAGGACAAAAAAAACTACAAAAAATAAAGTATAAATTATAATTATTAAGGTATTTTATGATTCAAAATGCTATTCACAATCTTTATTATTATTACATAAGTTTTTAAAAATTTAATTGCATATAAATTAATTGATGGAATAATAGTTATTTTCCAACAGGAAGGCTCCAAGTTTCCGTTTTAAGAAGGTAGTCCTGTAAATTACCATTTTATGCTTTCCTGCGAGTCAAGTGTGTTGCAGTTCTATGAGTGCTCCCGCTCCAGAATTAGTCGCACTAGTTCGGTTGTTAGTCCGATTAATCTAATCTAAGTGAAACTTTTTGGTAGCAACAGTCTGGTTAGTATAAAATACAACACCGAACTACTGATCCTGTTAAGTAACAAGGAGTTCGGTTAGCTATGCTTACAATAGTTAAGATACTCGCACTACGTCCGGCAATTCCTTCTGAAGTAGTTCCATTACAGTTTACTATTTTTTTATTAGAGAGTTCAAGTTGACTTCATGTTTAAGACTCCATTTTTATCACAGTTATTTAGCATTCAAGGAGATATGGCCGCTGATTCAGGTTTCAATATATAAAGTCAAATGTAAGTTTCACTCATAACGTCAATCTAAAATAATTTATAAAATACTTTGAAAAGAGTGAGATTTTATACCATTATGTTTATTATTGAAGTAAAACTTCTTTACGCACGCTTGACTTGTGAAGTAAGCTGGTGAACTTGTGACGAGAGCGTTACGAAAAGTGTGATCTGGCGAGGCGAACGATAGTTGAGAGGGAGATTTAAGTTATTGAAGATAGAAAGAGAGTGTTACGTTTCGTATATTACTGTAGAGGCAAGAGAGAGAGGTGCGAGCAAACATTTTTATTCTCTAATTGCCAAGAAGTTTTACTTCAGTCGTGTGGTCTAAAAAACACTCGTTTTAAATAGGGATTAGTTTGCGAATCGCCATCGTACTACGAACTACTACTAAGTTGTAGAAGGTTGGAAGTTTAAAATAATGGGTTTGAAAAGCACGGTTGGTTTTCATGCGTGATGACGATACGTTTGGCAATTTTCAAGATGATGAAAATAAAAGATTTTTGGGCATAAAACACAAAAACAAACTAAAAAATGTTCAAACAGACGATTTGTGCAGTTTTTAGAGAAAGCCACTGCATGTTTTTCTTATGCCTGTTTTAATCTGTGAATATTTCCTATACCTTTTTGATTGCGTGCTAAGAGGTAAAGACGGTTCATTTTTAGTTGAATCATTTTAGACCTTTAAATTTGCGATAGGAGAAAGTGGAAGCGGATTAAACTCAATCAACGGCTGATCTTGCTGCAGGTTTTGGAGTTAGTGTCAAAACAACATTGAAGCACTTGCGTCAAATCGGCAAGATAAGTGGGTGCCACACTAAGTGAGGACCATCACCGTGACTTAGGTACAGGTTAGGAAACATGCCTAGCACCACTGAATCGGCATAGAAACGAGGGAATTCTGAATCGAATTGTTACTTGCGATGAGAAGTGGATCCTGTACGACGACCGTAAGCGTTCGTTTCAGTAGTTGGATCCAGTACAACACCTAATCAGTACGCTAAAAAAAGATTACCCATAGGAATATGATGCTGACTGTCTGGTGGACCAGTGCCGGACTTGCACATCACAGCTTCTTAGCGAATAGCACAACAGTGACGGCTGCTGTCTATTGCCAAAAATTGCAAACAATGATGAAGCTCGCAGTTTAATACCATCGCAAAGCTACAAGTGACAGTCGGAAGCTCTCTCTCGTACTCACTGGACCTTGCACCACCAAGGAGAGGCAGTAAAAAACGCTTGCACTGACTTCATCGCCTGCTGCCCAGCAGACCTTTACAGCAAAGGGTTAAATAAACTGCCATCAAAGCGACAAATCTTTAATAAAATATCCAAAATTGTTATATTTAATTTTTTTCATAATATCGTATCTCCAACTTCATAGACCTAATCAATATACGGAACAGAACTTTTGCTACTAAAAAGTTTTACTAGTTCGGGTAACCAAACTAGTGCGACTGCTCGGCATTAGCGGGGAGGCCTTTTGGCCTCTTGGACGGACTTCCCATGTCCGATGTGGCACAAATTTGAATTATTTGTTACATGGATCTTCAACAAGAATATCACATAGCATTCACAAAGAACAATAATTTATTGATCTTGTGTATCCTTAGTTACAGAAGAAAACAGACCGCATTAAAAGTCAAACATAACATTAGGAAACAGAAATTATTATTACACAAATTATAAATAAACAAATCAAATCAAATTTACTGTTAAATTCATTAAGTCAATTTTAATACTAACAACATTCCAACAAGTGCAAAATTGATGTCAGCTGTTTATTGATAAGGAATCTAACGTGATGTATTTAGAGTTTTAAGCAGTCGATTTACATTTCCTTTGTACTTTTCTGCAGATACACTATGTGGCGACTCCCACTACGGTGAAAACGAAGAAACACACTACAGCGTCATCTAACGTAGACACACCGAACTACGGAGTAACTACTAATTGTGTATCGCAATATTAGCAATCATCAATCATCATCAACAGCCTTTAGTAGTCCATTGTTAGACATAGGCCGAAAATACTCCCGCCGATTACCATATATCTAACTTCGAAAAATCACTCGTTGGGCCGCGGCCCGCCAGGCATGATCACCTCGTATGGTCGTAGGATCCTCCTCTGTGTTGAGAGACAGACATCCGTTTCTTCACAGTGGCGAGTTGGTGACCCCGACGTGATTGAAAACCTTCAAGAAGCAAATCAGCGACAGCACCGTCGCCACCATCGTGTACACTCCCACAGAGATGATCATTAATCAAGTCTCAGACAGCCAGCAACCTTGGCCACAACAGGGATACCTCAGGCAGGTAACGACCGCTCCTGCCCGTTTACCCCTACGGCTTCATAGCACACTGGACCTACAGTCCACGTAAGAAGAGTATATCTTTCCCGTCTACGCAGCAACCGCCCCGACTTACTAAAGACTTCATCGTAGCACCGCGCACCGCATACAATCCCGACTGACTGGGATCAGCCGACTTCAGCCCCGAGTCACTGGATCTAGCGGAACTCAGTTCCGACTTATTCAAACTATTCTCTACTGGCACTGGCACGCTCCACAAGCGCATAGACAGCTGACTCATCAATATATCGTCTTGAAGGGGAGTGATGTGGCGACTTCCACATACGGTGACAACGATGAAACATACTACAACGCTATCTAACAAAGACACAGCGAACTACGGCGTAACTGCTAATTTTGTATCGTGTGCGTATTAACAATTCTCTCGCCGATTAGCATATATTATACAACTCCCCAACATCATTCGTTGGGCCGCTGCCCGCCAGGCATGATTACCTCGCCTGGTCGGAGGATCCTTCTTTTGTGTTGAGGAACAGACATCCGTTCCTCCATTACAATAAAGTGAAAACTATGTACAGGTGGATTGCAACTCAAATAAAACACAATTTTAATTGCGTACCAAATAGTTTCTTATCAAATTAGTCTTTCACGTTACAATCAGTTACAGAAATAACTAAGGTTCGCCATAACACATTATTCAAAGAGTTACGTACGTAAAAAACTACCGTAAATTATTGTTCAATTTGTATGTAGTTACCTGCTGTATGAAATCAATTAAGAAACTTATATAGCTAGCACAAGTTAAAAGTTACATTACATGGGTAATCAGATATCTTGATACTATACCTGTGACTTTCATTTTATAGTATTATGGGGCATGCGAGCAGACGGGTCACCAGATGGTAAGTGATTCCCACCGCCCATGGACACAAATCAAGAGATACAAGTGCTTGCATGCTCCCCCCAGAGCTGAGGGCTGGACTATAGCAATACAATAAAAAAATACTCTTATAGTGTCAGACTGGTTTTACGACACGCCTACAATTAGTACAGTCAGAACTTAATAACTATAAACTTAAATCACAAAAAATGACAGCCATCACAAAAATGACAACCACCACTGGTTGAAAAATTTAACGCAATCCCTTAAATAAAAAATCTCAAAATAAAAATATTAGTCACTGTAATGTAAAACATTTGTATATTTTAAAAATTACTTTATATTAATAACTAAACCGCTGTGACTAATACTTTGTACTTCACATTTATTGTACATCATTTACTAATTTTACATTTTAAATAAAATGTAAAAATATGGAAACACTACAAATAGTATACCTACATTATATGTGTAATTAAAGCATTTAATGGTTATTTATTATTTACTTGGTCTTATAGTTTAATATTTTACTTAGCATGAAGAATGTAGGTACATTATATTGCTGGTATAACTAATATGGCTAAACAATTTAATGGAACTGAACATTTATAGTATTCAGGCATGTGTTATTTCATAAAGCTGAAACTGCTTGCCAGATTAGGATCAAGTTTGAAAAATCAATAGATGGTACGAAGTCCACACGCGCGGCAGTCATTATTATTTATCGCCATTATTTACCTGCTAGAAACATCAGTGTATATCACTGTTCAAAATCAAAGTTGTTTTACAACTTGAACAAACATTTTAAAGTTTTTCAACTTGATAATAATCTATAGTATTGTCAAAATTGAAGAACTATGTTTTGTTGTATGTATGTTCACATAACACGTTGTGTATGAAATATTTGAAATCGTAACTAAATTACACTTCCTGATATCTCAAGTTTTTTTTTAACACATGATAAATTGTAAAGATTATAAAAACAACAACAATAAGCCTCTAACACTTACCCTAAATGCATTTTATAAAAAAACAGTCTTCTCAATTCAAATTAAACAAATTGAAAAAGAATCAACACTTTTTTCATTAAAATAATTATAGTGTTACCACTTACAAAATAGTTGACTGAATATTACTTATTATTTAACTGTTTACATAAACAGTTAAATAATACAGACCAGCCAGATTAAATCACATAATAAAATATAATAATTATAATCTATAAACTGTCTGCTAAATCATCAACCATAACATCCTCATCTGTAGCAGGTTCAGCCTTAATCTTAACAGCTGAATTTTTCAATGGTGCCATCAAATTATTCTTACACTTGCCAAAAATATTATGACCTTCATCAAATTCTAACTTAATATGAGATAAATCACATGATAGAAGAGATGGAATATTCTGAGTTAATTTGTTTTTACGTATATTTGGTTCTGTTTTCACAGAAGAACTAACATTTTCGTAAGCAGTTGAAGTTGTTGATGCGGCAACTCCTTTTCTTGCAGTGACTGATGCCTGTGTTTTGTTTTTTGTGGTGGTGGGTTTTCTTGGTACTGCTCTCTTGACAGGCTGAGCATTTTTACGTTTCTGAATTGTATTAAAAGCCCAATCTTGGTTATGAGTATTACTTTTTTGTGAATTACCTGTAAGTAACAGTATTATAAAACAAAACTCAGAGCTTCACATTTGTTGAGGGTACACAGAGATAATCTTTTTTCTGTTTGTTTTTTAAAAGACAACTTCTGCATTAGGAATATATATTCTGTGTCGCGAGGGACAACATACATGAAATTGACGCAAAGAACACCCAGAGACTCAGGACAACAATTTGTAGTTTACATAATGTGGTGTCCTGTGTAGGGATATGAACACACAACACTCAACGCATTAGGCAGCGGCGTGACGACCGCTTAGACCACAATGCCATCTGTGCAGTCATTGGGTGTTCCTCAACTATTTTGTCACCAAGCTTTAGACCTCACATTTGTAATACACTTTAACAAGAGAAGAATAAAACCGCCTGGTGGAATATATGTATGAAGTGTCAATGGCTAAAATGATAGGCTATAGGATCAATTTTCATTTGCCCATTTAGGAAGCACTGCAACCTATTTTATACTGAATTCTTCAAATCAAAATGTCTTTTGTCAGTGTTCTCATTTTGTTTTACAGATGGTATAAATAGTACTTAAGAGATAAATAACTTGGTTCAAATTAGGGAGTTAGGTTTTACCTAAAAAATAATAGACTAAGTGACCATATGTGTCAAAAATGTGTCAAAAAGATAGTTTGTGTCAAGTTCAAAAAGCAGTTTACCAATTTTTCTAGTAAAGCAAAAAGTTGTAACTGAAGTAAAGCTGATGAAAAGATACACTGCTTGTCCAAAGTAGCCCATACAGATCATGGACACAACTTTTAAAGAATATGAATAAAGACTTATCCTGGGTTTGACTGGCCTGTGTAATTTATCTATAATATGTATATATTTAGAAATATGTAAGTATGTTTATAAGCAGTCTGGTTACCATAGTAGAGCTTCTGCCTTGGTATCAAACAGCTGTGTGTAAAATGTGTAATGTTTTTGTCATTATTGAACAAGGATAGGAATAAGTGTTAGCTGTTTGTTGTATTATTTGCTATTAAGGCATAGGTATTGTCAGTAGGCAAAGGCCCACATACATTGCATGCATTTGGCCAGCTATCCTAAAAGTTTAAATGCTATAATAAAAGTTTTATATTGAAGATGCATGAACGGAGCAACACCTTCACTCTAGGTGGTATATGCAGCCCCTGGTCCACTATGATGTATAGCAAAAGGTGTAAAAAGCCTTCATACTGTCATTAGATACTTTTGTCATGGCTCCTGTAATGACAGCAGTACTTCCCCATTACCTAAGCATTTAAGCCGCATAAGCACTGTTCAGACAGGGTAAGCATACATCAGCTATATGGATAAATAGTTCTAAATAGATAAGCCCAATTAGACATCAGTTCAGAAAGCAATCATCATTTTTGGATTGACACGATGCTCACAATCACTAAACTTGAGAGGAGTAGCGAGAAGCATAGATTTAGCTGAAAACGGTCAGAAAAACAAGATTTCTTTTGAAGAATAACGAAATTTAGATAGCATCATGCATACTTCCCATAATCCAAACAGCGACGAAGAAAATGCTTACATACCTTCTCCATAACCATATTTCATTCGTTTCGTGTTCCATGAATCATAATCTAAATGAAAGTCATTAGCTGGTACTGGGCTATTTCCAGTTTGAACCCGCCATATTTGAGATCTTGAGGAGTTCGCAAGGGCTTCAAGTCTCTCCCTGTACAATTCCGCAGATATCAACGCCCGATCATAGTCGGAGTTAATACGAAGATCTATTTCGTTTTTAAGCACAATGTCATTCATTAGTAACTCCATTTTTAAACAATCAATCGTGTTATTAATTTCATCGAACCGACGGCGACGTTTGCCACTACGGTTGTATGAACAATTTTGTGCCCAGTTTGTCCAAGCCGTAGGAGACATTTTTCCTTAAGTTTTACCCGTTGAAATATTGTTCTTCTATACAGACAAAGTAAAAAGATAAATTTCAATGGAACACAGAGGACTATTAAAATCGCTAGCACTTATAAACTACTTATTATTTATTAGTTAGTTTATTACAAACTAACGAAGTCACTGGCCGGTAGAATAAGTTATTTTGAACAATTGAAATTCTGTAGTGTTACCGTTCCCAAATTAGTTATTCTTCTTTAAAAAACAACTTTTTAAAATCTACTAAAACGCACATATCGTATCTTGCTAATAATAATAATAATTATTATTATTCAGATAAAGAGTACAATCATTTATGATAAATGGTTCTCTAATTTATAAATGAAATACAGTTGTTGTTTGTTTGTGCCACTGATATAGTTCTCACTCAGTTAATAATCTGATTCTCTTATCACTTAATATATTAAGATATTAAGACGTAACCTCTGTGCACCTACCTTACAAGATTTCTACACCACCCGAAGGTTGACTGGAAGAGAATTCCCTGGGCATTAAGTCCGCCGATGTACAATAGTGCATAAAGTTAAATAAATAAATATAGAGCCGCAAGAGCTCTCGCCTCCAGGTCCCACGCTTACGTAGGCCATGGAACCATATCGCCTTAGTTTTCTGAGGCACCACCCTCAGCCCCAGCTCACGAATCTTTCCCACGACAAGCCACCCCCTGCTAGGCGAGCCGAAGTATGTCCTCGAAGCGTAACCCTCTAGGCAGTATTAGTCTTAGGCCAGAAGGCAGACTGGTGCGAAGGACCGCATCGTAAGAAAGGTGCCACAACAAAGAGTGGCCATGAAAGGTGCCCAAAACAGAGCCCTTGGCTCGTGCGTCGGTTATGGACCTTTTCACTAGTTTTTTTAGTAAATTCAAATCATTTATCCACATTTCTTAATTTTGCCCCACCCCTTAGTAAATGCTGGGTACGCCCATGGCCCACCCATTGAGGTACACTTACACCTACACACTACACGAGATAAATACACTTGAGTGATCAACTTTAAATCTGCTATAACTCACAATATAAATCGATAATAGTTGATCATTATTCAGAGATATTATTCAGAGAGATCATTATTTTTTATTGACAGTTTAATAAAACTTATGTGATTGAAGTTTTCCATAATAATGACTTTTAAAAAAGAAACTTTTTAGTTGGTTCTGCTTTACTGAACAAAAACAACTAAAGAAAATAGGTTTTACAAACAGTCTAACACAGGATAATTAATTATAAAGCAGCTTTCATACCATACAGTTTTGTAATTGATCAGATTGTCGACTTAATTAGTTAACGATCAAATTTCATATTCACACATTGCAACTAAATCCTAGAAGAAAATGCAGCCACATTGATCACCTAACCGATTTCAAGAATAAATAATATTAAGTACTGGTTGTTTCCCACATGCCACTACTGGTTGTGCATACTTTTATGATCACCGCTCCGCTCCTACCGGCCGTAGTGTGATATCGATCAATGTGTCTATTAAAATAATTTGAGTTTATTCCGAGAGTTTCCAAAGCAATAGATGCTTGAGTGATGAAGTAATAGGTACTTGACGTGGCAACATCGACCTAACAGTGTTTTTTTTTTTCGTTTGTTTAAAAAAAAAAAGTATTTAAACCAAAAAGTTAAAGCATGTTATCATGATTCTAAAATGGTATAATTATTTTTATATCTTAAAGTATATTTGGAAATTTGTGGGTGTATCAAAGTTCAAAATGCTATTTTATTAAAATTCTTTCTGAGCACTATTTGAATAAGAGGGAGACGGGTAGCGACACCACTTATTTGAGTAAGAGGGAGACAGGTAGTGACGGCTTTCAGTTGAGTAATAGTGAGATACAAAGAGACCGTTTTACTACTCTGATTGTTCAGAGTTCGATCCCCACATGGAACAACACTTTGTATGATCCACAAATTGATGTTCTGAGTCTAGGTGTTCGTTGTGTTCGTTTGATACAGGATATATTCCTAATGTAGAAGATGTATTTTTCTAGATGAAAAAATAGAAGAAAAATTTTAATGCGTAGGAGTGAGATTGATAGTGATGTCTTTTGACGTGACGAATAGCCGAACTATCTATCTATCCAACAGTCAGTACGTTACGTATTTTTGTCTGCTGCGCATCTTTCCGTATTCATTTTACTGTCATACTAACGACTTCGGCTATATTTTTAGACTCGATTAAAATGTGATTAGGCAACTAAACTGACCTGTAAGTGTGCGTAGTTTTTGTGTTTACTCTATTACGAAGCCGTTTCCTCTATTACGTTCATGCAGCGAGTAGATTGTATCACGAGATATATCCGAATGTTATCCCGATCATCGTGTGTTCTTGAATGTCCACCGAGCATACCTACTCAGAGGGTCATTCACAAGTGCAAGTAGACCCGGGGCAAGCATTAATGATGGAGTTTTACAAGTTTTACAAAACCGACCCAAGCATTAGTGCATGCCATTGAAACAAACACTGAAGTACCAACAACTGTAGTGCAGGGAATTTTAAAACGCAACATACTTCACCCATTGCATATTACAACGAGTGCAAAGTCTTTTACCCCTTGACTGACCTTAATGACGTAATGACTGACGTAAATGACCTTCTGAGTAACGTTCAGTATTCGGATATTTCTCACGATACAATCTGCTTATTGCAAGACCATTCCATCTGCACCCTGCATAAATTAGGAGCATATTAGAGTTTTCTAACGAAGTATAAGGAGGCCCTCTCCTCGTATCCTCGTATCGTAATAGAGTAAGAACAAAAACTACACACATTTACAGGTCAGTCCAGTTTCCAAATCACAGCTGGACAACGTCCAAAAACAAAGCCCAAGTCGTTACAGAAAGACCTGTCGCCCTCTGACTCAAATAGTGCACATAAAGAATTTTAAAAAGAGTGCATTATGAACTTTTGTGAATTTCCTTTTACTAATCTGCTTATAAATGTAAGATGTAGTATACCATTTTAGAATCATGATAACATGACCCAACTTTTAAAAGACCTTTTCCTTAAAGTTGGGTACATTTTTTTAAAACAATGTTGTGTCCAGAACCCGTTGACTCATATATTCTTTGAATTATTAATAAAAAAGGAAACGAAATGTTTTTTATTCGAGATATTGCAATATTCCTGGTTTTAGTCACAGTTGTAATCGATAGATCCTATTCGCGGCCTCGCCATTACAGAAGTGAAAAAAGTAGTCCAATGTGTCAGTTTTCACCGATGTTCAATAAAATATTTCAAAAAAAAAATATTTTTTTTTCATTTTTACCGGAGAGGTAAGGCGCTCACCAACCATCCCCTCAGCGTTTGACCTTGAATTTCGGGACACCTGTATAAACATAAATACATGGCCGTGCCATCTTGTTCTCTAAACTATTCAGACTATTTTCGACCCCCTGTACATAAACCTAAAACCCTGAGTTCTCTATCAGTGATCAAGAAGTTACAATGTGGCTATGTACATAAACTAGCAGGTATGAATCCTGAAACTTCTAAGGTACATCTAGGGAACACTCGTTTTAAATTTTAAACACAATTGCAGGTCATACAAATGTATGCCACTTACTTTGCCTAAGAAAGAAATAGACCGACAGATGTTATCGAAGATAATGACGAACATGTTTATTCTAAACTCTTTAATAGTTTATTCTAAACTCTTTAACAACGCTATGTTTTGGTGGGATAAATCTTCTAATCTGAATATAATAATAATATGTAGAAGCCCAAAATCGATCTGAGTGGCGTGCAATAGGAGAGGCTATGTCCAGCAGTGGACTGCGATAGGCTGCCGATGATGATGTAGAAGTATTAGTCAGCATGTTGAATGTAGTTCACAGGTTATGCATGCATGGCATGTTTATTATTTAATATTTATTAACATAATGATTATAGTCTTGGTATCTAGTGCCTCGGTGGTTTAGTGCAGATGTTGAGGAATTCTATAATTTGCATTTATTTAGGTATTTATCGGAATATTGTGTAAAACTTGATACAAGTATTTTTACATTTTAGGCAAACAATTATATAGGTAGGTACGTAAGTTATTTACTAATTGCAATGTAAATAAGATAATTAATAATACCTTATAGACAATTTAAAAATCAAGATAATTCCAAAATCCATTGTATTAGAAATACAAATTATCTGTGGTCCATTTATAGTCAATTTCATAATCAACATATTTCAATACCTAATCGATTGTATTAGAATTTACTAATTATCTCTGGGCCACATTATTCTTAAACTTTTGGCGCCTTTTTTGTGCAATGTACGGAGTAGTGAGTGAGTACCCTACTCATAGATAATACACTATATAAAGTAAACTAAATATACTAGGCACCTACTTTTAAATTCCTATAATGTTCTAAATTATACACTATTAAGTAAGGCGTTTAATTTCGTTAAGTTTTGGCTCTAATATTAATCGAATTTGTTATGAACTGTTGAGCAAAATGTTCGAGGCTTTGCAGGGTGACAATTTTTTGAGTAACGCTGAAGAACTACGAATTAAAGAACTTGATCACACGAGTAAAGCCCTAGAACAAAATATTGAAATTATTAACAATTTTATAAATAAAACAGAAAGAAGATGGGCACTCATGGAGGCCAAATTAAAAAAGGAAAGATTGGTTGCGCTCGCAGCTTTGACAAAATCTAAACTGTTGCTGGCAGAGATGGAAATATATATCGTGGAAAATGTACTCAACAATCGATGTCCAGAAAGCCCTAAAAATGTCGAGGCAAATGCAAATAGGGGTAAGATCCTTTCTAATTCGATATCCATCTTGGTTTACACCAAATTTAAACACAATTTACGATCTACTCTCAGTTATGGAATATTGTAGTTGATGTTTAGCACCCGTAGGTAGGTATTAAATGATAATTTATTATAATAAATGAGAAAATTAACTAATTATATATTTATAGCAAGTTTTAATAATTTTAAATACAGTAAAAGCCTGTATACACCTAAGACATGTGCGGCATTAGTATACACTATTCGCTGGTTAAAAATACGAAAGTTTCTCAACAAAACAAATCTATTTGCAGGTCTAAACAGTAATAATAAAATTATATGAATTTATACAATAATTATAGGCAATATAAAATACCAATAAATTATACAATATTCTAAGTTTTCTTTTCCTTGTAGGCAATTCCCATTCAACTCCATCATCACCAAGTTTCAGCAAAAAAGAAAGTTTATTCAACACATATTCTGTAGCTACAAATGATAGACACCATAGTTTAACATCTTCAGGTAGCAGAAGTTTATCACCATTTAAATCTTCTAGAAGAGAAAGTTCTTCTTATACAAGAAGCTCTTCACCAAGATCAAAGAGAGGAAGCCTTATCAAGAAAATAGATAAAGATCTTACATTTAAAAGCAGTGTAAGGAGCAAAGGTTTGAAACCTTATAGCAGAGATAACAGGAAAAGATGTGGTTATACTCAAGGCTCAGTGGTTGAAAGCCAGCCAAGAAATTCAACACCGAGACCACATACTCCATCTCAGCATAGGAATGTTAAAGAAAAAGTTGGTAAGGATAAAACTTCTACTCCAGTTGTTTCTTTAGATAAGGCAAGTACAACTGCTATAAATTCAGCTATAAATAAGTCCCTAACTGCATCAATAATCTCAGAGTTTGATAAGTCATTTAATAAAGAAAATGTATTGGTTCCTAAAACAAATGCCAAAAAGCAGAAAATAAACCCAGTGGCAAACATAGATGCTTATAAAAAACGTTTAAGTAATAACTTACATGTATCTCATACAACACCAGCAGCTAAAATTAGATCGCCAATGTCACCGTTACACCCTGGGGATCCAAGAAAATATCCCAGTTCTGATACAGAAGAAGGTGGTATTTCAAAAACTCCTATGAGGCTACCAGTGCTAGGAATCCACTGGGGTAAGCCGGCTCCTGTTCAATCGCAGGGAATTGAAGAAAAAAATAAATGTGAAAATTTTCTATCTAAAATTAATCAGGTTCAAATGGCTCCTGTCCTTGCCACTCAAAATTTTTATTTCAGACCCATCTCACCTCAATATTTGACACAAAATAATATGGAAAATAGACTTGTAAATGCAAACCAAGGAGATATGCATACATCTATTAACAGTGCTCCGGTGCAGACTGTATCTGAACATGATGACGAAAAAACGAAGGTTGACAATACCTACAACAATTTATCTTATCCATCTCAAAATTCTCAAGTACATAGCAATAAGCCACAACTTGGTGTTGATAATAGACATATTAGCATTCCAGTTCCTCCCATGTATAATTACAGTAGAGACACAGGTTCTCTAAACCAAACTAAAATACCCCAGTTGCCTGATACAAAGTTCAATTTAAGTTACACGCAAGGCTATGAGCCTAAGGTGGAATTGAGTACCAAAACAAATGAGCAGAGCACACCCACTAGCCCTCCAAGAATAAGTTTTTATAACAGTTCCTAAATAGTTCGCCAAATATCGTTTTAATATTTTTTTATTAAGGTGTAGTATCTAGTCTTCTTCAAATCGAGATTATAGCAATGCATACGATTTTGTTACCATTATAATTCTAAACAATTTTGATAGATGGCGTTAGATGTGAATAAAGGTTACCCATTTTGTTTTGGAATTGAGTACCAAAACAAATGAGCACAGCACAACCAGTAGTCCTCCATGAATATGTTTATAACAGTTCCTAAATAGTTAGCCGAATATAGTTTTAATGTTTTCTTTTTTATTAAGTCGTACTTACCATTCTTCTTTAAATTTAGATTATAGAAATGCATGCGATTTTATTATTATAACTCTTAACAATTTTGATAGATGGCGTTAGATGTTACACATTTTAAATTGAACGTCGAAAATAACTTTAATGACTATGAACCATTTATGTCTAAGATTTTGCCTCGAGGGTGATTATTGATATTATTTCTAATTATGAGACTTCTCCAAGTATTTTTTTTAATATAAAAGTTAAATTTTGACATTTTTTTAAATTCATGAAGCATGATTACTTTTATTCTGACCGACCTAATAAAAAAGAATATATACAGAGTAAGGGAAGTAGGGAAGTTTGGGCGCCAATAACCAGTAACATTCTTAAGAAACTACAATTTGATTTGATTATTTTAAGTAAAATGTATACATATATACCAACATGAGTGTACAAAAATAAAAGTATTTCTTTACTTGTAATAATGATATTACTAGTAAGAAATGATTCAAAATTTTTGTATGTGAGTGTTTGTGTGTATGTAAATAAATAAATTTACTCAAGTATTTCATTTTAAAATTATACACAATTTAAATTTGAATGTTGGTGAATAATAGAGGAGGTTTTTAAGCAGTTATTTTTTTAATAGGGTGATTATCATATTAATTTTGAGAATGACTACACTTACATATTAGGCAATTTACAGAGTTTAATATGATTATTGAATAGTTTTAATTGATTGTTTTATTTTGCTTTAAGTGCATATTTTGGTTGCTGTGATTTGGTTCAACTTTCATATAAATGATTGACATGTTTATCCATAATTCTCATTTTATATGTTGTTCATTAACAAAACTATATAAATAATAATTTTCTGTGATGCTATTTACTAACGATTCTATGTCCAAGCTATATATTTTTGTTGAAGATAAATTCCTAACAAGGTATACAGCTAAGATTATATAAAGGCACTTCATTTTTATAATATTTTTTTAATATTACACACAACATTCTTAAAAATACATCAGAACACTTACACAAAGATCATTGCAATCATGATTAATATAGTCTTTATTTTGATCGACATTAATGAGAATATTGAATTTATTCTTAAATGTTATTTTTTGGACTTGAATTCTAAAAACATGTGTTTGAGTTAAAAATAAGAATTGAATTGTAGATGCTGACTTTATTAAAAGTTGTGGTAGAAATATACCGTTTTTAAATAATGTTGTGTGGTTTTCTTTGTTTAATCTGTGTGGTGACGAATTAAGAATACAGAATGTTACCACCCCTATTCATACCGCGGTTGTCGTGTGAGCCGACTAAGTGTGCAAGCTATCCAGGATATCAGCACTGCAAAGAGCAGGAAAACTTGACACAAACCCTGGCTAATGTACATGTAAGAAGTCTAGAAATGCAAGCATTAAGAATGAAATTGCTGTTTGTCACGCATTCTGCATTTTGTGTAAATAATATTTGCAATCGATTAACTCTAATGATAGTAAATGGCGCTGCGTGAGATAATTGATTTGTTAAAGTGTGCAACCGCTCTCATCGCATTTGTTACGATAATTTGGAGCTAGAAATTATAATTAGGAGGTAAAAAAAAAATTAAAGAAATTTTTAGACGCCAAAAGATGTCTTTTGAAGTGAAACTTCTTTAGAATCGTGATTTGAAACTCGATGAAACGTAAATGCGTCACGATGAAGACATACACATAAATGTGAGGATAGTAGGATTTTATTTCTAATATAATATTTTGACAGGGAACATTTTTATCTTTTTATTTAATACTAGCTGTTACCCACGACTTTGTTCGCGTAGAATTTAAAAAACGCTGCCTTTCTGGGTTCGATTCCCGGGCCCGGGTGAAATTTTATAGGGTTTTCTGAGATTATTATTTTTCAGAAGTTTCACTTCTGCCGTGTGTGGATTGCACACAGACACTTTTTTACCTGTGTTCCTGTAGAAAGTTAGTAGCAGACGACTGAAATATCCAGAAATTTACACAAAAAGCTGTCAATTGTTTTTACATCAGTCAATGGCGTTTTTTGATGTGCTTGACAGGCATGACGTAGGTTTCCAACTTATTCTTTTTAACTTGAAGGACAACTCCGTAAATAAAATTCGTCCAAAATTCAGTTCCCATCTACTCTCGATCTCAGAAATGTCACAAAAGGTATTCTCGTAGTTAAGTAACACAGTCGGTCACAATACGATATAAAAACAAGTCAATGTTGGATGTTTAAAATTTACTACGAGAATATATTTTATGACATTTGTATCTCACAAAAGTACATACATCGGCAGTGCATTTTGAATGAATGTTTATTAGATACAAGAATTGACCTTCAGGGGGCACAGTAGGTTCACTGTAACTTAGATTAGTTTTGTGGCGAGTAGGACGTTATGCGTTAGGACGAAGCACTAGATCATACGATCTACGTCACATGTGGCGTGATGTTCTCCAAGTGTAAGGGATTAATACAGAAAGCCCCGCCTACCGCAAGATGGCTGCCCACTTTCTATTGTACCTACTACAGGGCGCGCGCGCAATATGGTACACGCACATCTTTTGTTCCACGCCGTTCCCTCATTCAGGAAGTGCCAGGACCGAACCTTTACTTGTTTTTGTATATAAATGCTGTGTCGCATTGTATTAGAAATTATTCTGCTTTCTGTTATCATCTTGGTACAAATAAAGCTTTGATTACTTTGTTGCTCGAACTCTTTAATTACTAGCAGTTAAGCAACTATTATCCACTTCGCTTTTAGTGATTTAGGATAACCAACTCATTAATAGTCAAGTGGTCAACGACACTGGGACTGGTGCGTCTATTTCGCTCCACTAGTGTGGGTTCAGTTCCAGCATATCACACTTCATAGTTTTAAATGTTTTTGTACTAATAATTGAAACTGAACCTCTAGACTATAGATGTAAAACAACCGATTTTAAAAGTTTTATATAAAACTAGCTGACTCGGCAAACGTTGTTTTGCCATATACATATTTAAAAAAAATGTCAAGAAAAAAAAATTAGGGGTATGAAAAATAGATGTTGGCCGATTCTCAGACCTACCCGATATACACACAAAATTTCACGAAAATCGGTGGAGCCGTTTCGGAGGAGTTTAACCACGCACACCATGACACGAGAATTTTATATATTAGATGTTGCCGTTTTAAACCCCAAATAAATTGTCTTAAACGGTTGAAAATACGCCTACAAAAATAAAAGAACTGTGTTTTACACTTCATCGTGGGCAATTTTTGGTCAGATGACGTCATGTTTTGTCAAGAAAATCAATAGAAAGTACACTACCTACTGCACACTACCTACTACTACATTACCTACTGGGTAGGCAGGTATAACGTTACCTCTTCAAGGCCGTCGCTAGTGACGACGTCAACGAGAGTGCGAGAGTGTAAGTTTGGTTTAAACCGAATAAAATTGATTATTTATATCATTTGAAAACAATGATAAAAATGTTTATTAATAATAAAAATTAAGCACTGGTTATGTAAATTATTTATAAATCATGTGATTTATCAGTTTTATCACAGTTGATTGCGATTTTATGTCATCCCTAGTAGACAAAGATGTGTTTAACACCCACATTAGGTCCGGTTTACTCAATAAGGGACGAGTATATTGTTTCTACCGGGCACTTTGGAAATTATAAAGGATATCATCATCATCATCAACAGCCTTTATTAGTCCACTGACTGGTCTAATAAAGGCTGTTGGGGTTGTGCTGTGAGGGTCTTCATACTGCGCAAAACAAGCTAAACGAGCCAGAGTGGGTTACCAGTGGGAAATGGCAGACCAAGATGCACAACGGCCAGGGAAGACAGACAACTGGTGGCTAAAATGCTCCAAAATCGTTTTCAAACTGATGTTGGTCTAAAAACTCACTTTATTCGCTTTGGAGGTGGCAATTTAAGCGCTCAAACAGTAAGAAGACGTCTTGCTGAAGCAAATTTGAAACCATTGAGGCCCGCAAATGGCCCTAAACTGGAACGGGGACATCGAATTGCAAGACAGAGATACGTGCGCGAGCACCTAAACTGGACACTAGTCGATTGGTCTAGGGTAATGTTCACGGACGAGTCTAAATTCATGCGTTATAAGCATGATGGTAGGCAGTTGGTGTACCAGGGGAGCGCTTCCATCAACCGTGTGTGGAGGAAAAAGTGGCGTACGGTGGAGGCTCCGTACAAGTTTGGGCTGGGATTTCTACTGAGGCCCGCACCGAGCTAGTACTCATTCAAAATGGAACTCTAAATGCAGAGAGGTACGTGGAAGAGATCCTCAATGAACATGTAGGTCCTTTCATGGCCAGGATGGACCGGCATGGCATATTAATGCATAATAATGCGCGTCCCCATACCGCCAGAATTCTACATGACTACCTTGAAGAGGTCGGTATCGAACTCATGCAGTGGCCAGCGCGAAGCGAGCTTCAGAGATGCGTGAAAGGTCGAAACCCCCCACCAATCACGCTTCCCGAGCTCAAACAAGCACTGGTGGAGGAATGGGAAGGTATTCCTTAGCATCGGCTCCGAAATTTGGTGTACAGCATGCCTAATCGCCTGGAAGCTGTCAGAAGAGCTCGTGGAGGCAATACAAAGTATTAAATGAAGAAAGTGATGAAAAACAGCAAGAAAACAATCATAAAAAAATGTAATCTTAAGAAAAATATGACTACTTTAGTTTTTTTTTTATTTAGGGATAAGTTAAGAGTT